ATATTTTATTGATTTTTTACAGAGAGGAAGAGGGATAGAGAGTTAGAAACATTTATGAGAGAGAAACATTAATCAGCTGCCTCCTGCACACTCCCCACTGAGGATGTGCCCACATCCAAGGTACATGCCCTTGACCGGAATCGACCTGGGACCCTTGAGTCCACAGGCCAACTTTCTATTCACTGAGCCAAACCAGTTAGGGCAACCCTGTGACTATTTTGTGACCACCAATCTGTATTGCTTTTTTATTACTACTAAATATATTTTATTGATTTCAGAGAGGAAGGGAGAGGGACAGAGAGAAACATAAATGATGAGAGAGAATCATTGATCAGCTGCCTTCTGCTCACCCCCTACTGGGGATCAAGCCCACAACCAGGGCATGTGCCCCTGACTGGAATCAAACCCAGGCCCTTTCAGTCTGCAGGCCAATGCTCTATCTACTGAGCAAAACCTGCTAGGGCCCAATCTGTACTTCTTAATCCCTTCACCTTTTTCACCTAGTCCCCCAACCCCCCCCCCTCTGGCAATCACCAGCTGGCTCTCTGTATCTATGAGTCTATTTCTATTTTATTTATTCATTTACTTTGTTCTTCAGACACATATTATAAGTGAAATGATATAGTATTTGTCTTACTTATTTGACTTAGCATAATACCCTCTAGGTCCATCCATGCTGTCATAGATGGTAACATTTCTTTATTTTTTTATGGCCAAGTAATAATCCATTGTTTATATGTACCACGACTTTTTATCCACTTGTTTATTGATGGACACTTGGGTGGCTTCCATACCTTGGCTATTGTAAATAACGCTGCAATGAACATAGGGGTGCCCATATTCTTTATAATTAGTACCTTGGATAAAAAAAAAAAAGTGCTATTTTAAATGATTCTTTAAACTACTGCTGCAGATAACTACAAGAAATGTTCAGGCCTGAAAACATGTTCATTCATTCATCACCAATTTCTAACTGGTTGACTCTTTCTGCTTATAGATATATATACTAGTAAAAGCCTAAGCAACTGAATGACTGAACGACCAGGAACTATGATGTGCACTGACCACCAGGGGGCAGACGCTCAATGCAGGAGCTGCAATCTGGTGGTCAGTGTGCTACCACAGCCAGCAAACCCCCTGCGGTCCCTCCCCGTGTCGGCCAGCCCTGCGAGATGGCCCTGATTGGCCCTGATTGCTGGCCAAGCCAAAGGAACCCCACCTGTGCATGAATTCGTGCATCAGGCCTCTAATCAGCTAATAAAAAAATTTTGTCATCATCAAAAACAAATTTGACCTTGATCACTGTGACTTGCCAAGACATCTGAGACATGAGTTTGGTTCTTGGAGACACCAGGGGCCACTGTACCTGGCCCCAGGTAATTCCTCCATGCTGACATACACTCTACCCACCAGGCTGGAAGAGAGGCCTGCACATCCTAAGGCCACTGCACTGAACATCAATACCAAAGGGCCAGGAAGGAGGATGATTGAATTGTTCCCTCTGCCCACGTTTATCACAGCACCCCAAGATGCTCTAGTCTCCCACAAGGAGCAAAATATGTTCCTTTCATTCTGCAGTGGCTTCCTGTCTCCACGCAGTTAAGAAGGCTCAGGATACAGATAACATGTTTAATTATGACAAAAGCTCTGGAGTCAGGTAAAGGCTTTAATGTGCTTCTGTTGGACAGTGGCAGGGGCAGGGAAGGGAGGAACAAAAGTAAAATGCCTTGGGAGCCTTGAGTAGACTCAGCTGGCAGCCCACAGGACAGACTCCAAGCTCACAGCCATGGCCTCGAGGGGGGTCACAGGAGATGCCTGGCCGACTGCATCAGAGTAACTAGGACTCTGATCTCAGAGGGAGCAGGCTCACAGGCAGCTGGGAAATCTGCGTGAAGACAACAAGCAGGCATTTCAGAAGAAACACAGCCAATCCCAGACAAAACACCCTCAGGAGTCAGCGCAGGAGCCCTGTAGAAGAGAGAGTGATCAGCACCCGGCACCTGGGACGTACCCTGTCCCCTCCTCTCAGGGCCCTGCAGCATCAGGTAAAGCTGAGATCTGAGAATAAGGTCCTCACCTCCCCCAGAATCTGTGTTGGGGTGAAATCTGCTAAAGAGGACACGCACTTCAGCCTCACCCAGACATGCAGGAGGCGGGGGAACAGCTGTTATCCTTGGGGGATATGAGCATTTCAATCTTTTTAGCAAATTTATTGATAACTAAATGTCCTTCCACCACTAGGACTCACTTATAAATGCCCACAGGCAGGAGGCACCAACATGGGCACAAAGTGGGATCACCCCCGTCCTCCCCGGAAACACACCACAGAGGTGGCCGGCCCTTAAGCAGATTCAGCCACAGTTACACTGAGTGGCATTCTCTGCTTTTCTGAGGGAGAAGAGGTGGTGGTGGTGGTGGTGGGTAATATGGTTTCTGCCCCCAGGGAGTGCCCAGAATGCAGAGACACAGAATGTCATCTTCAGAGAGGCCCCAGTCTGACTAAGGAGGCACAGTCCCAGCTCTCACCAAAGCTGACCACCTTTGTCCAGAAGGTACAGGACCCCACCTTGCAGGCCTCCCCCCACCCCTGCTTCCTCCAGCCCCCAGGGCTGTCGGAGAGCCTGGCTTTGGCCAGAAGCGAATGTATTTTTGATGGCTCGGTACAGATAATGCTGCAGACTTGTCACGGCAGGAGACGGTGTCGGTGGGAGCTAACGGCGCAGGCGCAGGCGCACGCTCACAGGCACACCCACACAGTTGTGGGCACACGCTGATATGACTTGCTTGAGAGTTCTAACGGTTCTTTGGGGTTCAGATCCACGATCACATTTGTTTCTCACAGCAGCCACTAGGTCAGTGATGGCGAACCTTTTGAGCTCGGCGTGTCAGCATTTTGCAAAACCCTAACTTAACTCTGGTGCCGTGTCACATATAGAAATTTTTTGATATTTGCAACCATAGTAAAACAAAGACTTATATTTTTGATATTTATTTTATATATTTAAATGCCATTTAACAAAGAAAAATCAACCAAATAAATGAGTTCGCATGTCACCTCTGACACGCGTGTCATAGGTTCGCCATCATGGTCCTAGAAGCAGAGGCCCCCCTTCAACAGAGGGTCCCTGGCACAGCCCATCCACCCTTTTCCCCAGTTGCTTACCCTTCTGTTTCCTGTGACGGATGACAAGGCCCAGGCCCAGGAAGATCAGCCCCAGCACGAAGCCCCCGATGCCGCTCAGCATCTTGCTCTGGGCGGATCCAGACTGTGCCCCTGGGGAGCAGAGCCTGGGTGTCAGCTTCTGTCCCCAAACCCACAGGGACCCTTTGGAAGCCTCCTCCCCTGGGCGGGACCAGACAGTAAACCCTTGGACACCGTGGGTGGTGACAGGGGGGGTGGGTCCTGCTCCTTCACACACATCCTAACCTTGGACCCCAAGCCCATCACCAGACCCCACAGTCAGCCCTCCAGAGTCCTCAGGCTGGGTTCTGGCTGTGATGTAGAGTGACCTCCCTGGTGTCTGGAAACACAATGAGATCTAATGCCCCTGCCATGGCACCAGTGGGCTCTAGCGTCCTGTGATGTCCACTCAGCAGTGACATCAGGGGTAGGGATCCGATGGGACGGCCAGGGGACACTGTTTGCCCTCTGTCTGTGGGGCCCAGGGTGCAGGAAAGAAACTGCCCCTTACGCCACTCCACTGTGAGGGGGCTCTGGAGGCTGGGGTGTTCCACCCGGCAGGTGTAGATGTCCCCTCGCTGGGGGGTCATTTCCAGCATCACCAGGATCTGGTAGGTCCAGTCCCCGTTCCTAATCAGGGGGGTGGACACGACGCCAGCTGTCTCCTCCTGGTCATTCCGGAACCAGCGGACTTTGATGTGGGCTGGATAGAAATCCGTCACCAAGCAGACCAGCATGTTGTGGTGGTTCAGGGCCTCTGTCTTGGCCGGGGAGATGGTCACTGTAGGCTCCACTGGGAGGGGAGGGGAAACAGAGAGGAAAATAGAGAGTGAGATGTGGGGGCACAGGCAAGTCTCCCCACGGGGAGGGTCCTCCCTGAACCAGCGGGAAAGATCCCTGGATTCCGAGTCCAGGATGAGGACCCGAGCTGGGCCACTTGATTAGCTCAAGTAAGCACATGAGTCAGTTAACTTTTCAGGGTCAAGAGCTAACAGCAATCATTTTATGGGAGTTATTCTGTTACCAATTAATAAAAATGCAGCCTTTAAATGTTTAAATTGCTACGTTATACAGGCCACTGTTCACAATGTTTTTAAATAAAGATGAAAAACCTGGACTTCTTTTCCCTCCATTTGTTGACGGTGACCATGGGGATCAGCTCTAGAGACTCACACCAGGGCAGTGACCATTTCCTGTTGGTCCTGCTGCTCCTCACAGTGGAGAAAACACATCAGTTTGAGTCTCCGGGGGGACCATCAGCACTGGTCATGGCTCCATGAAGAGTAACACGGACTGAGAATTAGGAACGTTACAGACAGTTCTATGTCCGACAGAGCAGGACAGCAGTGACCATCATACCCTGCCTCCGAAGCAATGCTCTCAAACAGGCTCTTCCCTACCATTCTCAGCGGGAAACACAGATGGAATTTAAGGGCAGGAGCACTTCTCACATGTCATCCATCAACAAACCCCTCTCACCTGTTAGCCCAACCCAGCTCAGAAGCCATTCTGTGGCAAACTCCCATTTAATTGTATACTATTAAATAATAAACTTCATGTCCATGTAATCTATGCCACCTGTTTTATTCATTTACTGATTCATTTATTCATTCATTCAACAAATATAAATTTCACAAGCACTAGGAATAGAAAGATAACAGACTACGGTCCCTCCCCTTACAGAAATTGCAATCTAGTAAAATAAATGTTATTTCAAAAGTGTGTGCCCTGACTGGTTTGGCTCAGTGGATAGAGCGTCGGCCTGTGGACTGAAAGATCCCAGGTTCGATTCCAGTCAGGGGAATGTACCTTGGTTGCGGGCACATCCCCAGTGTGGGGTGTGCGGGAGGCAGCTGATCGATGTTTCTCTCTCATTGATGTTTCTAACTTTCTATCTCTCTCCCTTCCTCTCTATAAAAATCAATAAAATATTTTTTTTAAAAAAGAAAGTGTGTCATTTTTTTAAATTTTGTTTTATTGCTTAAAGTATTACAAAGAGTATAACACATGTCTCCTTTTTATTTTCCCCCTTGAC